CTGGCTCATGCTGGGTCCCGGAGCCCCCGCCCCCCTCCCCCCCCCCCGGAAAGGGGCTGCCTGGGGACTATAAAATAGTCAATTAACTAATAAGAATTCATAAAGTTAATCGACTATTCAATTAACGAATATTTAACATCCCTATACTGTTCCTCTTCCTGGAGTCTAACATGTCTTGGGAACCTGTAGGTTTTACCTTGCTTAAATACTTGCTTATAAAAATATAGAACTGCCATAACACATTATTACATGCAGAAGCCAGCAATTTTTCAGTAATTATAAAACTGAATAAATTGGAATATGAATATTGCATGTAGCCTGTAGCACCGTGCTGTCCAAACAGTTCTGAAGCAGAGCAAACTAGCCACGTTATTCTGAAAATGCTATAGCAAACAAGGCATGTTATTCAAGCCAACTAGCCACAATCAACTGGCCAAATAGCCACGTGTGTCTGGTGCTTAGCGTGTTGGACACCACAGCTAGGCTACGTCTACATTGGCAAGATTTTGCGCAAATACTTTTAACGCAAGAATTTTTGCGTTAAAGTATTTGCGCAAGAGAGCATCTACACTGGCATGTGCTTTTGTGTAAGAGATGTGCTTTTGCGCAAAAGCATCCGTGCCAATGTAGATGGTCTCTTGCGCAAGAAAGCTCCGATGGCCATTTTAGCCATTGGGCTTTCTTGCGCAAGTAATTCATGTTGCCTGTCTACACTGGCCTCTTGTGCAAGAGGGCTTATTCCTGAGCGGGAGTGTCATAGTTCTTGCACAAGAAGCACTGATTCCTTACATTGGAACGTCAGTGTTCTTGCGCAAGAACTCACGGCCAGTGTAGACAGGCTACAAGTCTTTGTGCAAAAGCAGTTGCTTTTGCGCAAAATCTTGCTAATGTGTAGACAGCCCTATAGTATATAGAACAGCATAAACAGGCTGTGTGAAATTTTAGATTGTGCTGACTTGGCTCATGTTTTTTATGTAGATTGTTGTAAAGCTAGGCAAATATCTAGATGAGTTGATGTGCCCTCTGGAAGACTGTTGCATGCCCACAGAGTTATGCATACTCCTGGTTGAGAACTGTGGCCCTATTATATTAGTTCTGTTTAAAAATCTGTACTTGGTTTTTTATTGTGGTCTCCTGCAGAAGTGAATTCTCTAGGCTGGTTACATGTAATGCGAGGATCATTAACTCAAAAGTTTTTTGAAGTATTTGAGTAAATGTTTACCAAAAAATAAATCCCTGCAAAACATTTGAGTATCTGATTTTAATTCCCTAAATTAGGGAGTGGGAAGTTGGAAGTCTCTAAAAATATATTTCTTTTTGAAAATTTAGTATGACCTCTGATAGTGGACTTGACCTCTAAAAAAGCTCAGTCTTGGTTAGTCACAGTTTGGATTAAGGACCACCCTCATGCTACTCTTAAAACAATGATGCATGAAGTAAAACAAATTTCTACTCTGCAATGAGTAAAACAACCCCTCCCCCCACAGAACCTCCTGCCTCCCCCCAACCAACCCATGTGAAGGCCTGATTGACTGTTGCTATTGCATCTGGCAGGCCTGAAGAATACCCATGCTCCAAGAAGTCCATCTAGTTTTGCTTTCACTGCAACAAGATGGAGCTTTGGCACTATAGAGATGAACACAGAGTTCTTATGCCTTTGGAGACTTTGGGACAAATGTGAAAGTCTGTTCAGAAAGAGCACTAGTTAAAACAGTCCTGAGCCTAGGCTTGTCCTGCACAAAGTGCTGAATTGGCCATCTGTAATCTCTGAAGTAAGAGGGCAAGCTGCCTCTCTCAGGGCTTGTCTAGACTATGTGGAAGATTCGAAAGAGAATTCTCATATCTTCTGCTTTTGAAAGTGAAAGTAGTCTAGATACATTTTTTTTGAAGACTCCCCTTTTTCGAAAAGCCGCATAAACCTCATTTTTTGAGGAAAAGAGGCTTTTTAAAAAAAGGTGGGGTGTTGCCGAAAAAAACACAGCTAGATGACTTTCACTTTTGAAAGCTCTGCTTTCGAAAGTGAGATCGGAATAGGGAATTTGCATATCCTCTTTTGACTCTTCCACATATTCTAGACATAGCCTTACTGCACTCATCCAAAGAGGTAGGGGTGTGTGTGTGTTCTATCATAAAACAAAACAAAAATAATCTTGTATGTGGTTTGGTGATAGAAGATGTGCATCAAATTGTCTTCTGCATGTGTGCCAAGTTGTTTTATACACTATTCTTAAATAATAGAAAAACTTAAAATGTATTAGAAAAATCTTTCATGTGAGGGGCTTAGTTTTGCCTTAATTGATCTTTCAAGAAAGAAAAATGCTGCTTTGTCAAATTGATCAACTACAAGTAGCTATACACATTAGTGTGGCATACATACAATCATACACTATGCAGTATTTGTCCACAACAGGGTGAGTCATCAGTAAAGCTGGCTGAAATTTTTTTGAAAGGAATTTGGGATTTTGACTAAATGAAATGTGTAATGAAAAATTTACCTTTACTTGGGGGCATGCTGCTGACATGGTCCAGTAGCTATGGCTCATCATCTGAAGCCATGGAGTCTTACTCTCCAAAACCTTCATATGCCAAGAGTTAACAGACTCCATCTCAAACAAATCCAAAGTTATTTCTGTAAAATAGGTACTAATTTAGATTCTTTACAAGATGACTACATCTCTCCATAATTAATCCCATGCTGCATGAGACCATATATCCTATAGTGAGGCACAGAAACCCACACACAAACATTAGATTACCTGCATTTCCCTGGATCCAGGGATTAGACATATGTGCATTCGTTTTTCTAATATCTGAACTGAAAAGACTGCTGCAGATTCAAACTCTTAACAATTGCTTAGCAGGATAAGCATTCCCACACACCAATTATAGACTCAACTCAAGCAACACAGTCCCAGTTTATATTACAAACTGTTTTCTTAATTTATCTACAGTAGAGATGGGTAAATGTGAGTCTCTGTCCAAAACTAAAATGTTTATTCAGTAATAGGAAAAACTGGTCTCACAGTTATTGATACCATTCAGGAGCAGAGGTACTTATGCATTGAAAATCTTGACAGTAGATTAGTATAATGTATGATGGGCCATTACATTTGAAGCCACTTTTTTTTGCTTGAGTTTGCGTGCATTAAAACTTGTTTCCAGGTGGGAAAGGAGATGTGTTGCTATATTTCTGCCTTCAAGCTTAACCAATAATTGGCTTACCAAGTGTTATTTAATTTCCTAATGTCAATTTTTCATTAAGATTTCTCAAGTATAGGTAGGCATAGCATCTGTTGCCTATTTATTTTTCTCATAGTATGGGAATGAGCAATGGCAAATGCTTAAGATATGGCAGTGATTATGTGATTGATAGTACAGGTTGAATCTCTCTAGTCTGGCATTCTCTGGGCCGACAACTTCCGTGGTCTGGCATGATTTTAGTTAGCTGGATGTCCATTTACCATGGATGTGACCATGTTTCCTGCAGTCTCATAAAGTTTGTTTACAGCCACCAGTCTTGGCTGTCCATATTCTGTGCTATTATTTAGCTCTAATTTTCCCCTAAATGTCTTCTAAGAGTCCAGTAAGCAGTGAAAGTGTTGGTAATGCTGCTAATTCTCTGGTTCGGCACTAGTCAGTTCCCGAAGATGCCGGACTAGAGAGGTTCAATCTGTACTGTGTAATTTACAGATCTTATTCTGTAAATCTGTAATTTTAGTGTCTAGTGAGAGGAAGACCCCCCCCCCCCCATGCCTAATAAAATGACGACAAAATATAGATTAGGGCAGTGATCACCAACCAGTAGTTTGGTGTTTACTGGTTGATCCTGGAGCCTTTGAAAAGTGATCTTGACTGGTTTGGCCTGGAGCCTATCAAGTGCCAGCATTTCAGCAGCGCCCCCCCTCCTGTGCATCTCCTGTGCATCTCCTGCCCTTTGTGGTGGAGCTGCCCCAGCCCTGGAGCCTCCTTGCTGTGCAGGGTGAAAGAGGCAGTGGAGGAGGGCACTGATGTCAGGGATAATGAGGCCATCCCCCTCCTGCTTACACCAGGAGCCGCTGCTGGACATGCTGGCACTTTCAGAAGTGGTGCAGCACCTGGGCAGGGGTGATTGCACCACTACCTAGGAGCTGCCTGAGGTTAGAGGGGTCTAGTGCAAATCCTGAGCCTGCACCCCAGCCCTCTGCCCCAAGCGGCTCTGGCCAGAGCCCCTACCACATTCCCAAACCCCTCTATCAGAGCCTCCACCTTCTCCCCTAGCCTGGTGAAAGTGAGTGAGTATGGGGGAGGAAAAGTGGATGGAATGATCAGGACAGAGCATCAAGGAAGGGGTGGGTCAGAGGGTTTGGAGAAGGGGCAGGGCTGAAGACAGGGCAAGGGTATTGGGGTTTGAGGTAGATCCTGGATTGCACTTAAATTCAAAAAGTGATCTTGTGCTTAAAAAGGTTGGAGACCACTGGATTAGAGTAAAACTGAAACAGCAAAACATGAGAAATAGGAAATACTTATCTTCAAGGGTTTAAAAAAAATTATGGTTCCCATCATTTTGGAGACTTTCAGGACATGTGATTTCTATGCAGTGTTAAACTTTTAAATACTGTATAATTCTGTTTGATAAACCATTACTAAGATATTACTGAAATAAGTTTATGCCAGCTATTTTCTGTAAATATAAAACCCCTCTACTTTTAAGAATGAAATCTAAAATGCATCGGTCATGTATGAGTTTACAGCTTTTATTTACTCAGTTTGATAAACTGTAAAAATGAATCCATGCTGATGCGATGCTTATACATTGTAAGTAATTTAGCAAGGGAAGATCATTGTTCACATTTTCAGGGGAGGAATTCTAACTTTCAGGGTGAAATTTTCATTCCCAAGTTCTTGTGCTATCAATTTAGAGTTGAATTTATCAGACAGTGTTGCTGTCATTGCTTAAGGTACTTTGGCTCTGAGTAAGAAGATCTTAAGAGGGAAAAGAATGGAATGTGTGAGTGAAGAAACTGAACTATGTTTTAACTTTAACTGCAAATATGATAACTAATGTTTTCCTCTATTCTCCCATTTATTTTGTAGATCAGGGAACAGAGAAACATGAAGGAACAGTTACTTCCTCTGGGATTACTGATCAGGAAAAGGAGTTGTCAAGTAGTGCACTGCAAGCTTTCATTGTAAGAAAAGACTTCAACTTAAATCTGAAAAAATTTCTGTTAAATTTAATTAAGTTAAACTATAACCAATTTGTTCTGTTTTTTAAGAATAATAGTAAATGTATCAACAACCACCATTACATCTAAATTAGTATCAGACTTCATTAAATATAGTGGATTGTCCACTTCGATCAGTCTAAGGGTGTCTAGACTACAGGGGTTTTTTTTTTTTTTCAAAAAAAGTGGCCTTTTTTGAAAAAAAACTTCATCTGTGTCTAGACTGCTGCCGCGTTCTTTTGAAATTAAATCGAAAGAACGCGACAGTTTTTGCGACTGGAAAACCTCATTTTACAGGGAATAATGCCTTTTTTCAAAAGCGCTCTTTCAAAAAAAGGCGTTATTGAATGCAAACAGTGCTTTTTTTGGAAGAGAGCATCCAGACTGCCAGGGGTGCTCTCTTTCGAAAAAGTGGCTCTCTCTTTTGAAAATACTGGTTGCTGTCTAGACGCTTTCTTTCGAAAGAGGCTTTTTAGTCTAGATGTACCCTAAGATATGTGATATAATATGAGCAGATTCTGTGTTTAGAGCCTGTAACTCTAGGCCAACCAGAAACATAACCAAATCTCTTTCTTGATTCACAGAGTTCTGTCACATTCAATACTATGAAAATGGTGAGAGTTGAGTAAAATAAGCATATAGCTCCTTTGTGGCAGTTCTGTCAACTCTGTGTGCACTCAGTGAAGAAAAATGTCCATAAATTTAGCTAGCAATTTGTGGATTTAACAATATTTAAAAAAATACAATTTATTTTTCATTCTGTCCGTCCTTACTACTTCTGTAGTGACCTGAATGCTACACAATATTTAATGTCCACATAAAGCACTTGTGCTTGGGAATTTAATAAACTCATGTTCAATACCTCTTTTTATACTTTCTGGAAGTTTTTGTTTGTATATTTACTAATGTGAGGATTCAGGCTGCAAGCTTTTTAATTTCTTTTACCCCTTACTTCATTTTTCAGTCCTTTTTGTATTCTGTGGTTATTGGAGGTATGTTTCCCTTCTTTGTGTCCTTTGTACTTACTTTTTTCTAACTTGAATTGCATAGACCAGTTTTCTTCTGATGTATCTACTTTATCCAAATAATTTCAATTGGTTGTGTTGCTCACTTTTGAGGTCCATCTTCTTTTTTCCATTTTATATATCAATACCATATATACTGCTTATATAGTATTGTTATATAAATAGAACAGAACTGTTCTAATATAGACTTGAGTGGCATTTGGATTATCACTTTCCTGTTTCTCAAGTGATTCCATGTCGTATTGTCCTGTCTTAGATATCCTTTTTTTATTTTTGGATAGTGGGAAAGGATTTTTTGAGCTATTTTAAAATAGTTCATATCAGTTTTGAATGACCTGCTGCTACATTTGTTATTGATTCTAAAATGGACCCAGACTGCCTTTCTTATCCACTCATGAGATAATATCTCTGTCTTTGTACCTAGAAGACTTTTAATGTATTAGGTTCTAAGGATGTGACAGAGCCACGTCTACTCTTCCAGTTGCCAGTGTTGCATAGTGTTAAATTGCCCATAAGTAACTCCACTAAATGTTTCTTTGTTCTTTCCCTGTTGCACTGCTTTATGCTTACTGGCAGAGCTACCTGACAAGGATGCTGAGAGGAGAGAATGGAAAAGAGTAAGATCTTGTGTAATATCTTGCTAAGGAGGAGCTCAGGGAGACCCAAGAGAACAGCATTGGGTTTGGAGTGCAACAAATAGTCTCAGAACAGGGAAGGAACCTGTAAGCTTAACAAGTCAGATAGGAAGTAACCTCTGGATGGAGAGGAGAAGAATTTGAGGCCAGAGCAGATTGTCACTCCTGTATAGGACTGAGACTGGAGCAGCAGGAGGAAGAGGAAGGACTGAGTTTCCCTACTTCTCAGCAGCAACACCTCCAAGTGGTATTGCTGAAGTTTGTGCTCTGGAGACAGAAAGGACTCAAAAGACCAGAGGGTAATTGATTATTGTGAAACCCTGCTGTCTAGGAAAGGAATTGCTTGCACCTGGGAGGCCAAAGGTAGTTTTGTTGTATTCTAATAAGCCAGATCCCAAATGGAAACCTACTTGGTATATGCAAATCAGAGGAGACACAGCGGCCTAGAATGATGTCCAGGTGCTGGCACATAAGTACCCTCTTGCACATGCCCTCAAATAAATTGTAAAGTAGTTTATTTGGAGCTGCATTATTCAAGTGGGTAGACCTCAAACTTCACCTGCATTTATTTTTTATATGTTGGTTTACATAGGCTAAACTTTAGTATGTTTTGCCATCCAGATGTTTCACTGCTTCGTTCCCCTTTCCCCCCCCATCCCAGAGTCCCAACCTGATATTTATAAGCAGTTCTACAATAACAAAAAAAGGGTGCTCATGGGGAAGGGATTACGACAAGAAAGAAAAACAAAGTTTTAGTTTCAAGATTCCATAGGGCTAATATAAGCAAGGATGAATGCAATAGAAATGTCCTACTAATTTCAAATTACTTCAGGATTCTTCCATTTGAACTTTTCTTTCACAGATTTTTTTCAATTTCTTTGAATATTGCGCTCAATTTTTTGACTTGTATCCCATATTAATCTTTATCAGTCTTCCATTTCAGCGCACCTTTAGTTATAGCTCTAGCTATGTTCGGTCTTTAAGGTTTGTAGGAAACAATTATGTTTATAGGTGGGAAGAGAGGAAATAAAACTTTTTATTCTATAAACTGAAAGAGAGTACTTTTTATATTAGGAGATACTGACATGTTGATTAAACATTTTTTCCCAATGCATATTGTTGGTGCGTGTGCCCGCTTCCAGGCTGGGAATTATGATGCTTGTCTGCAACACCTGAGCTGTTTGCAAGAAATAAACAAAGATGACTACAAAATAATTTTGAATACAGCTGTTGCAGAGTTCTGTAAAAGTAACCAAACTACAACAGACAACTTGAGACAAACACTTAATCAACTGAAGAATCAGGTAATTCAAGAATAGTGATGTGCTTCTTGAATTCAAGAAGCATCTTTGTTTTATATCCTGATTGGGTCCTCTACTACTTGAGGGAACAGGAAATCAGTTGTGAAGTTATTAAATAAAATACTGTATTGGGTGTTAAAGTAGCTTTATTTTATGCTTTTAATTATTTTTGTAAATGCTTTGTTTATGTGAATACTTAACCTTAACACTATATAAAAGTTTAGTAGCCTATGAATATGGGTAAAAATATTCTTTATTCTCTTACATGGATCATGCTGTAGCTTTAACTCGTTTCCAAATATTGACTCTTCCCTTCCCTCACCCCCCACAGTGACTATAAGAAATCTGAATAAAACAAATTACATTTTTGTAGGTTCATTCAGCTGTTGAAGAAATGGATGGCTTAGATGATGTTGAAAACAGCATGCTTTACTACAATCAAGCGATTATTCTCTATCATCTGCGTCAATATACTGAAGCAATATCAGTCGGAGAGAAACTTTACCAATTTATAGAACCTTTTGGTATGTAGATTGGAGTGCAAAGTTGTTTACTACTTATTTTTGTTCTCTTGTTTCACGGTTGCAGAATGTTCTCCTCTTGTTTCACGGTTGCAGAATGTCAAAACTATTTCTTGACCTTAAGCTCCTTGATGCTTGATTCTTCTGGTTATGGTGTGCGTGTGTGTGCGCGCGCGTGTGTGTGTGAGACATAAATATGAATGATCTGTTAGCAACTGACACACACACACACACACAACACAGCTGAGGTTTAGAAATAATGTATTGTATGTGTAGTGCTATCTGTGTATATTAAAAGAAGCATGATTCAAACATGGCACTATGTCTTAAGATAGCAGGAGAACATATAAATAATATATTAAATATTAAATGGATGTTAAGGGTTTACTTATTTCTGAAGATGGATGTGCACATACTATGATTGTACATGCAGAATCTTTTATGCACGTGAACAAAAGGGCAGTTAGTCATACAACTAGATATTCATGTATTTGTGCAAGTTAACTAATAAGGGGTACAAGTTGTAAGGAACTGCAATAACTTGTATGTAATTGTATGCACTCACTTTTGAAAATTAAATTGCCCACATCTATAAACAATGGCCCTCTATGTAGTGGAATGGTATCATGCTTGTATGAAAAGGTATATTAAATCTTGCTGAGTTACGGTAGTGTTAAGGTTGTTTGCTGATACATGCTCTTGTCAGTGTGTATGAGGTCCTCAGTAAATCCATTAGAGTGGAACTGAAAGAACAACACATTGATAATTTTCGATGTCTCAGCTGTCATACTGATGTATGATATCATACATGACTTTAGGGTTCAGTCTGCAAAGGCATCCATACAGAGATATTTAAGCTTGTGCAGAGTCCTGCTTACTTTGAGATTCCTTGTAGCCATATAGGTTTGCCCACATTGAACCCTTTATGGGATTGGTTCTCCAGTGCTTATCAGTTAGACGAACTTTCAAAATTAATTTTTAAGAGGAAATGTTTAATTGTCTCTCTCTACTTTAGTGATGACAGGCCAGCATTTTCAGTGTTGGTAGATTTGTTCATCAAGATTAGCATATGTAGTGCATTCATATTACTGTTAGAGCACTTCATGAGAGTGCTTTATGGCTAACTTGGTGGTGTTATTAAGACTATAATATTTCTTTCTCCTTTCTTTGTCTGATGTAGAAGAGAAATTTGCCCAGGCTGTGTGTTTCCTGCTCGTAGACCTGTATCTGCTAACTTTTCAAGCTGAGAAAGCCTTGCATCTGCTTTCTGTTTTGGAAAAAATGATTTCACAGGGCAACAACAATAACAAAAATGGAAAAAACAATGAGGTGGGTATGTTTCAGCGTTTTTGCTAAAAAATGAAAAATACAAACCCTCCCTCCCCTCCAAAAAACACAACCCTCTTTGATGTATGGTTTGGGCTAATCCAAAAGCAACCACGTAGCTTTTCAGATGTGTTAAACTATTAGCAGTTGTTAAAACTTAAGGGCATTCTACTTGTCACTTTAACTCAGTTAATTACATGTGAAATGTATGTATTTCCTTGTGTCCTGCTACATACTGGGTCTGCTACTGGCAAAGGACTGAGAGTTGTTTCCTATTGTCAGATTTTGCACTAGTGGGACAGTTACAGTTCTTAGGGTCAAATATGCCCACTTTGTCTTCTTGGATGATAGCTCTGAGCTGTAACTAAGAAGTTGTAGCTTTGGACTGTAATTCCTTTGACCCTGAGCCGTGGAAGTAACTAATAGGTCAGAGGAATTGCCTCTGCATGATGAGATGTCATTGAGCATATGAGACAGTTGTTGGAGTGAAATCTGTTGTATTTGGCACTGAAATTCTGCTACTAACCAAGTGCCTTTTTGGAAAATAGATCCCTGTCTAACCAAAATCCACTTCCTACCTGAATGTCGAACACTTCTTTGATATATTAAACAAAACTAATCTTGTTTATCTTAAAAGTACAGTATATTTACTGAACAGTCTGAAGGAGAATAGTTCACCTGACATGGAAATCTAGTTTTCAGAAGCTAAGGCTGTATAGATAAAACGTCCTTAACTTCTGTGCATGTTAGTGAATTGTTAGGTGGTTTTTAAGTACTAGATGAGGATGTGATGATATTAAAGATACTCTTATGTAGACATGGAAACTTCATTCACTGTAATCTGGTACATTCTTGGATATAGATTTGGATATAACATGAGTGCTCTTTTTTGGACATTGATTTCCCTCTATTAGGCCTAAGAGGAGGAAAAACCACCGTACATTGGATTAAAGATACAATATTTTCTTTTTTCTCATTTGTGTTCAGATAGGTAATAACACAAGTAAGGAGTTATCTAATCAAAGAGCTGAAAGTGGAGCTTTAATCGAAGCTGCAAAATCTAAAATACATCAGGTAGGAACTTTTTGGTATCCAGAAGTAGATATTCATATGCAACATAAAATTTATTTCATTTATCTTTATTAAGAAGAGATATTGCATGCAGTGAAGCTAGTTAATCCCTAAACATTTGTTTGAGTAGTTTTGGATACTACACATGCTCCTTGAATTCTCTTGACTATTTATAAAATCAACCCCCACCTCTCTCTCTCCCCCCTTCCCCATATGTGTATATTTCAATTTCTCCCCTGTTCCGTAGGACCTACATAAGCAAAGGAAGCTGACTAAGAACAAAGGGACAGAATTGTATTAATTGTTGTATCTCCATTGAGCTCTATGACAGCTTACACTGCAATGGTATTGACACTTTACGCTAACTGAGGATCTGCCCCAAAGTATTATTAAATGAACAAAAAGAAAAATGAAATATAAATATTTTTCTCTGATCTTTCAGGTATAGAAGTTACTTACCACAATAGTAATTAAAATCTCAGCAGTACAATTTTAAAGTGCTGACATTTCTTAAGTTTTGGGTCTGAAATTCATTATTCAGCATCCTACTGAATATATTTTTACAATCCATTTTACATGATACTATAGGGTTTATTTTGTTAGAAGGCTGTAATACATTTTTAAAAATTTGATAAACACTTTTTAAAAACTTTTGTTAATGTACAATTTTACAGATTGCATCAAACTGCATAACTATCTAAAGTACTTTGTCAATTTTTATAATTATGCTAATGATTTATTTTTTAATTTAACAGTATAAAGTGAGAGCCTATATTCAGATGAAGTCTCTAAAAGCATGTAAAAGGGAGATCAAGTCAGTTATGAATACAGCTGGAAATGTAAGGTTTTTTTTGTTAAGCATATTTTGTTTGCAGTCTAACTCAATTCTCTGTCCTAAAACTAAACTCATTACAAACGAGTACAGGCAGTCCCCGAGTTACGCGGATCCGTACTTACCAACGGGGCTTTTCTCGCCCCAGACGCGCCGCGGTCCCGCCGCCCGCCCCGCGCCCCCCGGGGCGGTGGGGGGTGGGCCCCCAGCAGACCAGGGAGATGCGGAGCAAAGCCACGGAGGACCCGGGAGGCGGGACCGCCCAGACGCATCGCGGTCCCTCCCGGCCCCCACCCCAGCAGACCAGGCTTTTCTCGTGGACGCCTGTGGTAGAGCAGCTGGGGTGCTGCCGGTTGGTCCCGCAGCGCCGCTCCTCGGTGCTACTGGACCAACCCGGCAGGCTGGCCACCAGTTCCAACTTACATACAGATTCATCCCCAAGTCAGCTGCTGCTGAAACTGATCAGCATCTCATTCCAGGAAGCCCGGGGCAGAGCAACTCTGCCTCGGGCTTCCTGTAGTCAGCCGCTGGTCAGTTTCAGCAGCGGATGAATCTGGACGCCAGTTCTGACTTAAGTACAAATTCATCTTAAGTACAAACCTACAGTCCCTATCTTGTACGTAACCTGGGGACTGCCTGTAATCCTGTGGCATCTTAGGGTATGTCTACACTAGCACCCTAGTTCGAACTAGGGTGGCAATGTAGGCAACCGGAGTTGCAAATGAAGCCCGGGATTTGAATTTCCGAACTACGTAGTCCGTACTGCGTGTAGCCGTGCGGCACGGAGTCTGCACTAGCGGACATTTAAAAATGGCGGCACCCGGCTTTATGCAAATGAAGCCCGGGAAATTCAAATCCCGGGCTTCATTTGCAACTCCGGTTGCCTACATTGCCACCCTAATTCGAACTAGGGTGGTAGTGTAGACATACCCTTAGAGACTAACAAAAATATATGGGATCATGAGCTTTTGTGGATAAATCCCACTTCACCAGATGAGTGAAGTGGTTTTTACCCGTGAAAGCTCATTATCCTATATATTTTTGTTAGTCTCTAAGGCAGTGGTCCCCAACCTTTTAGGCTGCCACGCGTCGTGTGTGCGCCGTGCGCCCAGGGCACAAGAATGGCTTGGGCCGGCCCTGGTCACTCGGCGGGTGCACACAAATGCCCCGGCTTGTGCTATGGCGCCCGCGGGCACTGCGTTGGGGACCACTGCTCTAAGGTGCCATAGGACTACTCATTGTTTTTAAACTTACAGAGTAACATGGCTACTCCTCTTGAGATTTTAAACTTATTAGCTTTATTTCTTTCATAAAGTTTGTGAGTCCAGACCTTTCGGATTAGTCTTGTTTATAGTTACTTTTATATAAGTGCTCCTTATTATGGAATTATGATTTGGATTGGTTGATTTATTTGCTTAGGAAATCACACAAGGGTTTTTGTTAATTTAAGATATAAAAGTTTAAAAAATTAAGCCCTTTATAAACAAACTCTGAAGCATTAGATATAATAACCTTAATCAACTTCAAAAAGAATGTAAATTTCTCTAAAAAGTTATGGAAGCCCTAATCTTCAGTTGATTCAGTGAACTTCATTCCCTGACTAGTGTAAGTTTTCCTGTACATTGAGAGGATTAAAATTACTCCATAGTTGATGAATAAGAAATAGAATGTGGGGTTACTAAATCTGTTGCTTCAATGAAAGCTTTTTAAAAATCCTTTCATTTTGTTGGAGGCGGTATGTCCCATACAATTCATTTTTGCAGAGGTAGAAAAAGACACACACACACTCTACTGCATTCTCTTCATAAGAAGAAAAGAATGTTATAGAACAGTTTACATCTTGTGTGTTGTGTTTTTCAAGGTGTTTTTTTAAAGCAATTACAAAAACATTTAGCTAGATGTTAAGGTGAATTGTTGATTATGTGAGTTCTAGAATGAGAAAAATGCTAACCATACACCCGAAGAATAAATTTTGTTGCATTAAAATGAACACTTTATTTTAAAATTGCAACAGTAGTCAATAACCGATGACTGATAAATAGATCTACTAACACAATTGCTAAGTAATATTTTTTGTTTTGTTCACAGTCTGCTCCTTCTCTCTTTCTTAAGAGCAATTTTGAATACTTGAGGGGTAATTATCGGAAAGCAGTTAAACTATTAAACAGCTCAAACGTTGCTGAACATCCAGGATTTATGAAAACAGGTAAATTAAAGCTTTAGACTCTGTGCAACCACTTTACACGTAGTGTCATTGAGTTTAGTTTTAAAAGGCATTTTCTGGTGCATAAATTTCAGTGTTTTTATATTTTCTATGCTCTGGGTTTTGCAGTACAGACAGTCCCCGACTTATGAACCCGTTATGTTCCGAGCACCTGGTTGTAACTCGATTTGGTTGTCAGTCAGAAATACCCTTAAATGCGCTGCCCATGCTGTTCAAAAAACTTGACATACATGGTTGTCAACTCGAAAATATTATAATGGGGTTAATGGGAGGTTGGTCGTAAGTACGGATGGTCATAAGTTGGTGTGTTCGTAAGTCGGGGAGTGGCTGTATTTTAATTCTCATTGTGGTCAGTCAGACTACTCATGCGTATTCAAGTTAAGCATGTGTGTAATTGATTCGAGGAAGGGGACCTTAAAAACCATGTTTTTAATCTTCTTTAGTATATTTTCCATATACTTTTTCTCCCATCCTTTAAATGTTCTTGTGTATGCTTAAAACAAAACTCTAATCCAGCTTAGCAGATATTTAGTAATGTTGCTACATGAAAAGATTATTTTTGTTTGGACCAGATTTTGTTTGGACCAGTAGAAGGTAATGAAAGGCTAGTGTGAGTGACAGTACTAACTGCTGAGTGAATTCAAAGTTTGCATGGGGTGTTAGGGGTTGGCTCTAATCCTGTGGAGTTTAAACTTCTGCTAAATATTTGTCTTCTGTCAGGTGAGATGGATGGCATAATTGTTTTCTTTTAGCCAATATTGGTAACTTCAGATATTGGAAAACCCAGTTTATATGAATTATAAAACTGGGTTTAATGGAAGAAAAGACATTCCTATGTTTTATAGTTTAAATGATATAGCTATTAAATGCCAACAATGCTCTGTGGTGCTCTAGTACCACAAGGATATTCCTTCATCGACAGGTATTGCTGAAGAAATGGTAGCTGTGTCAATATAGTCATGGAATATATTGTAAATATCAGTTCTCTGACTACTTGAGTAGACTCAATTAAGCAATTTCATATTTATTTAGGTTAGAAATTGTCATATTCTTTATCAGTGGTAATCTTGTGAGCCCACTTGTAAATAGCTCAAAATATAAATTGTCTCTTGCAAAATGCTCATCACAATATTATCTGAGTGCCATATATGTGTGCATTCTCAATCCAAGAAGCTCTCGTTTCTCTTCTGCTTTTGTATTAGTTGGATTAGTGTATTTGCTTATTTTATTAAACGTCGAACAGATAATGTCATGTGAGAATTTCCTTCTTACAGGAGCCATATGTCAGAAAACAAGAAGTATTTACACATGAAGTACTAAGAGAACTGTCAGATGAATGTGCTCTACATTGAAATCTGCCGAAGTAGTTTTATTCTCCTGCTATTGGAGAATATGATGCACGAGAAGCTCACTAAACCCCTTACCACTTATCATTTAAATAATGTTATGTGTTCAGAAGAAGTAAAATAGTATCCAGAAGTAGTAGTAGGTAGTATTGCCTCATATTGTGTAGTTTAGCTCCTCACAGGAGTATCTTACTAAAAATGTATCATAAAAACATGCTATAAAATGTTTTGATTTTTGATAATATTTTGCTGTTCTCTCAGGTGAATGCTTAAGGTGCATGTTTTGGAACAATCTCGGCTGCATTCATTTTGCTATGGGAAAACACAATTTAGGAATTTTCTACTTTAAAAAGGCCCTGCAGGAAAATGATAATGCTTGTGCACAACTAGGAACAGGTAGCACAGACCCAGGTAAGACTTTTAACAGAAGAAAGGGATGGTAAAGAACTGAATGTTTTGGGAAATATAAATTGTTTCTGGAGATCTTACTTTGTTTTTAGTCATTACCATTCAGTAATCCATGAAGGACAGGGTAAGAAGGAAAGGAGTTTTGAGTGTACAGGTTGAAACTCTCTTAACCAGGATTCTCTGGTCCAGCAACATCCATGGTCCAGCACGGATATTGCAGGACCAGAATGTCCTGGTGGAGCGCCAGTGTCAAGGATCCCAGCGGGGTCAGCAGGACAGTGGCCTTCCTGTAGCAGGCTGATGGTGGGGCTGCCCAGAGTGTTGCAGTAGGGCTGCCCAGCAGGGTTGGAAGACTTGGTGCGTGGCTGCCTGGTGAGGCTGAAAGCTGCAGTAGCATGGTGGGGCAGGGAACCACGGCGAACGGATGCCCAGTGGGTCCCGGAGCTCCAGTGCGGTACATAGGGCTTCTTGGTGGGTCCCGGAGCCATGGCAGCGATGTCTGCTCAGTGAGGGAGGGAGTTGGTGGGGAGCCGGCTGGGAGGCCAGTGTCCAAGCTGGTGGCAAGGGTCCAGAAATGACCTCCCCTGGTCTGGCAAAATCCCTCATCTAGGACTGGTCAGGTCCCAAGGGTGCCAGAACAGGGAGGCCCAGCCTGTACTGGATTTCAAAGTATAGCTGCCTGCTGTCAGAAATAGATGATGAAATGTGTATCGTTTTCTTGCTGGCTTAGATTAATCCGCCAAGATTCAGTAGGCTCTCTCATTTACTTCCTTAAAAATAATTTTAACTGCATTTTGTCTTAAATACAAAAAAAGTCAAGATATGTTTGTAAGCAAACTCTCCGGGTTTGCATTATGAATATCCTAATTGTAACTGTTAATGAGTATCTTTATTTTCTAGATAAAATATCTTACACCAAGTGTTTCATTTTATGTTAAATCCACACTTTGACAACTAGTTCTCAGGTTGACATGCAAAAATAAGTGTGTGTTATGATGGTATATACCATCATGTCAGTTTAAAAAAAAGTCAGCAGCTGTTTAGAAGGGGGGGAGAAGGATGGGAGGAGGAAGGCACTATAAGAAAAACAGACCTAACTGATTACAAACATTGAGAATAATGAAGAAACCATGGGAATTATATAGCTTTGGAATTGTATGATATTTGATATCTAATACATTGAATAATCAGCATAGTTAAGATTAAAGTAATTTATATTCTAATAAATAAAGTGGAAGTGTTTGTTCACAGGTCAACTCTAAGGTGTGAGGAATTTTACAGAGGGAAGTTAGTGAATGTTTACATGATACAATTATTTTTCCAGCAGTCTTCTTTTGTTTCTGCCCTCTTAAATTGGATACCAATATTATCTAACCTCTCACAGGCAAGAAATTTTCAGGGAGACCTATGTGTACATTGCTGACTAATAAACGGTACGAGTTGCTATACAACTGTGGAATTCAGCTTTTACATATTGGGAGGCCCCTGGCTGCTTTTGAATGCTTGATAGAAGCTGTCCAAGTCTACCACTCAAACCCACGCCTTTGGTTGAGACTAGCAGAATGCTGCATTGCTGCCAACAAAGGGGTAAGTAACTATACTTCAGAAGCCATCTGATGACACAATGCTTCTGAAAACCAGCATTCTTTTGAAAAGAAGAAATATTCCTTGAATTATACCATACGCATGACAATACTGCTTCTACAATACTGCTTCTGCAGTATTTAGTTATACAAATAATAATATTGTGAATTTATATCAGATTGTTTTAGTATAAAGACCTCAACATGCTTTATAAAGGTGGATAAGCAGTATCTCCATCTTATTGAAGCAGAAATTGAGGTCTCAAGGTTAACTGAATTCATAAGGTCAAAAATGTGATGGTAGCTATTTTAGAATATTAGTAAGGAATAAAAGGAAAACATGTAAGTGGATATTACAAAAATTCCTTACTAAAGTTATAGGCTTTGGATTCGTCTTCACTGTGAGTTCTTCCGGCAGAAAATATGCTAATGGGGGACTAATTTGCTTGAGTTGAGATCTCATTTGCATATTTTCTGCTGATCTGTTTTTTGCGCTAGGGGTCTTTGCGCAAAAAGAAGCAGTGTGGATGTTTCTTTTTTGCACAAACCCCTTTTTCCACAAGATCCTTATGCCCCAAAAAAGGAGGTTTACCGATCTTGCGGCTAAAGGGATTTTTGCGCAAAAAAGACCCATCAACACTGCTTGTTTTTGTGCAAAAACCCCAGCGCAAAAATGGATTGGCAGAAAATATGCAAATGAGATCGACTCATGCAAATGAATCCCTCATTAGCATATTTTTTGCCGAGAAAACTCATAGTGTAGACGTAGCCTTTGTGTGAGCCTAGTGAAGCATGATTTCTCCTGACAAATTTACATGACACGAATGCATTTAGACCATATTTAACTCACTGGTACATGTGGAAAAGACTCCATTTTGGAGTACTGCCTAGTTTCTGAGTGCCTTACATTTGAATTTGTACTAACTTTATTTTAGGGCTAAAAATAAAGATTAGGAAAGAATCAGTAGTAGTTTGTGGTGAAGCTTCACCTGCTGATAAGATACAGCGTGTTACTTCTCCATGGTGAAAACTCAAACTCGCCTTAACAAGCCATCTCGTTCATCCCACTGTTCATTGGTGCTTAAGCTTCTTGTTGTTCTTTCATACTGATACTCCCTCTTAAGGCCATATTACTCCTTGACCCAGTAGAACTGTTGTAGTTGTATTGTGAAAGAGAATCACTGGATTTAAGGTCTTGCATGAGCTGTGCACCCTAGGGATGTAAAATCCTGATTCATCAGTTAACTAGTGAAACGATAGGTTTACCTACCATGTAATCGGTTAACTGGGATCCCAGGAGGGGGAACTGCTCTGGCATTGCTGGAGTGGCTTCCAGTCTCACAGGGGGCTGGCTGCCAGCTCCCGGCCCCAGCCATGGCAGGCTGCGGGAGGGTGGGCTGCTCTGGGGAAACCAGCTAATCGGTTATCTGTTTGCATCCCTAGTACACCCTTCTCCATGTTGTGGAATTCTGTTCTGCCGAGGTGCCCAGTGCAAAGAGTCTGGGGAATGGGAAGTAGTGAGGTTAAGATGGAACTGTCAGCCAGTTACCTTGAGGGAGCGTAAAAGTCCATGTAGGCCATCACTAGGTGATACAGTGTAACTGCTGCTTCTGCTCTGGGATGGATTTTTTTCCTGTTCTCCCACTGGAAATTACCCCTGTATGCATCCCCGGTCTATGTGCTAAGCTGTATGATTTGAGTACAGGTTTATTGTTACATTTGCATGCACAGATATGTTTGATGTCTTCTTGGATGTGTATTCATTTTCTGCTGATTATGCCAGTATCTAAATCTTGTACATTTGTCTTACTGTATCAGAGCCATAGTCCATCTAGTTCAATGTTCTGTCATTGATCGTAGCCAGTAATAGATGCTTTAAGCACAGGTGGGTGGAATCCTGTGGGAATACTTGTCTCATAAGGATTCTTTCGTTCTAACCAGTGTCATCTAGTGGTTGGCATTTGTTCTAGTTCATAAGGATTGGTTTGTATCCCTTAGGACTTGAGTTTTTTTTAAATCCTATCTAATATCAGGACTATATGTGATAGGAATCTTTTTGAATATTTCAGCAAAAATGGTTCAGCTGTTTAGGGGAAAATGTCCTTTTTCCTAAACATTCTCAATATTTTGTTGAGTAGCCAGGTTTTTAAATTTGGTCAGAGGAGTTGCCTTTGAGTCAGAGAGATTTGCCTTTTGCTTTTCCCATGAAAGTTTGCCCACATTTGGCCAAAATTATAAGACAAAAACAATTGTTAGCACATGCTCCATAAAAGTGTGGCAGCCAAATTCTGTCTGCATTGAGCATAGTGCTGCTGGGATTGCAGAGGCTGAGCTGGACTTTCCCTGCAGTTGCTTCAGGTGCTGGAATTGAGCAGGGAGACTGTCCTGTGCTCTCAGTATTCTCCCTGCTGGTGTCCAAGCAATGTGAAACAGGAACAGCAGGTTGTCTGAAATGCAAGGGGGACAAGAGGAAATTTTTCTTCACTCAGTGCACAGTCAACCTGTGGAACTCCTTGCCAGAGGATGCGGTGAAGGCTAGAACTTTAACAGGGTTCAAAAAAGAACTAGATAGATTCATGGGGGTTAGGTCCATCAATGCCTATTACTAGGATGGGTCAGAATGGTGTCCCTCGCCTCTGTTTCTCTGGAAGTGGGAGACAGGGGAGGGATCACGTGAGGATTACCTGTTGTGATCCCTCCCTCTGTGGTATCTGGTATTGGCCACTGTCAGCTGACAGGATACTGGGTTAAATGGACCTTTAACCCAGTATGGACGTTCTTATGTTAAGAACTGGAAGGAAAAAGAAATTGAGAATGGTTGGTCAAGAAGACTAGGAAGAAGAGTTTGGAAAGGAAGACTGGGTCTGGGAGCCAGAGATTTTACAGGGGATATGGGGAGCAAGAGTGAGATCTGGACAAAGAAAGGAGGATACTAGGACTGGAACTTGGATTAGAAGCTAGGTTTGAAGAAAAAACTTGTATGCGGAGCTGTGGCTGACGTAGGGGGCGGGCGTAGGGGGAAGAGGTGGGGGGGGAAGGGTCTGTGCCTAGAAGAAGCAAGTCTTTCCCCTGAACCCCAGGAATTGAACCCAAGGATGCTGTGTCTTGATGTACCTCTGCAATCAGAAGATATTTGTGAAATGCACTGACAAGGGTACGTGTCACATTGAATATTGGTCCTAAAGTTTCCAGCCATGCCCATGACCCCCTCAAGGATTAAGATGATTCTGTATGATGGGAATTTATATATTTTTAATACCTAGGAAATTATATATACAAAGCTACATTCAAAGTTTGAGGTTGCAAAATCAAATCAAATCTTAATTCAGATCCCTTATGCATATATGTTATGATACAGTCTTTAATTACATAATTATATACTAGTAGAAGATTTATGTTTTTTCTTATCCAGTATTACTCGGGTCCTTAGCTCAAATAATTATTTTTTTTTGGAAAATAAAATGGTGGAGCTTGCAATGAGGGGTTTAGTATACAGGCTGCCATGGAGAGAGAAGACTGCCTCAGCCCTTTCTCACTGCAGCATCTTTGGGCCAGGTGAGGAGCACCTCTTCATGGCCACAGCTGGAGTAGGATACATGTCCCCAGTCTGGGGCAGGTCCAGGTCCATCTGTCTCTTGTGCTCCCCAGCCAGAGTGAGGAGTGCAGCAAAATGTGAACTTTCCCCACTGGGAACAGCCAGCAATGTTCCTGTATGAATTGGGGATGGGGGGTAGCTTCAGCTTCCTCCCCCACACCTTCCTTTAAAAGGCGCCTGGGGAGTTGGAAGCTTGGGGCTGGGGCAGTCCCAGATGCAAGGGTTTGGGGAGGGCGCCCCCAGCCAGTCCCTTTCACCTGCCTGGTGAGTCTGTCTCTCTCCTGCATGGTTTTATGGGAAGCAACCCCATTCCCAGTGCGTCCCATTTTCCTTGCACAACCAAACCCTTACCTTGCTTTAAGTTATGATAAGGGGAAGCTACATACCAAATTTGGTGGTCCTGGCTCTTAGCGAGTATGAGGAGTTTTTGAACATACAGACTTGTGCAGAGACAAACTCTCTCAAATATGTACTAGAGTGTTTGGCCAGGAGCCCTGCCTTATTCAGGGCACATGATGTACCTGCTCTGGGGATACATTAGGGTTGTGTATTGGGAATTGGGAGCCTGGGGTCTGGGTGAGTGTCAGTTGTCTAACCACCAAGCTCCAAAGTCTGGGGCAGCCCCATGGCGAGGGAACAGGATGGGCAGCCAGTTGCCCTGCAGGATTCCAGGGCTGGTCCACCCCGCACAGCAGAAGGCCAATGTCAGGGCAGCTGCCACCTGGCATCTGTGGCCCAGATAATAATACTAGAGGTTGTATATATAGCCCATGTGGTGTAATAATTGAGAACCACTGATCTAGCATGAGTCTTTGTAACTGTTTGAGTGTTTTTATCCCTATTGGTTCAAGAACATTGGTTCAAGAACATACTATCTTTAGTAGACCCTTTTCTGTTGGTGAAAGAGACAAGCTTTTTCAAGTTAAAACAGAGCTTTTCTTCAGGTCTGTCCAAGATCAAAATCTTGTCTTTTTCACCAACAGAAGTGGGTCTACTAAAAGATATTACCTCACCCATCTTTTTTTTTAAACAACTTTTTGCTAAGGAGAATCTTAGTCTGCAAATGATGTCTTATTGCCAACAGCCTGTTAATAGACAAGTTCTGGCAAAAGATCACACGGAATATCTATAAATAATAATGAGATAATGATCAATATTGCTGACATCTTTGTTGGTTCAAATGACCTCCCAAATACATCAAGTATGTACTTAGAGACTTATTGCTGCTCTCCCTACCCTATAGATTTCATACTGAGTTTTTTGCCCCTTCCTGCCCACCCCGCAGTAGGCAATATTTAACAAGTTAATTTAGGGTAATTTTATATATTGCTACAGTATCACTCACTCTGTGTTTAGGAGGGATTTTGAAGGACTATTTTAAACATTGTCTAATGAGATAGACCAGGGGTCTCCAAACTACGGCCCGCGGGCCGGATGCGGCCCACGAGGCCCTCTCATCCGGCCCGTGGAGACCTTTTTGTCTACGGAAAAAAAATTACGTGAAGAACAATTTGAGAACAAACTTGTCCGATGATAATCTCAGGTCACTGTTGATGTTAGGGACAACAAATCTAAAGCCAGAAATGTCTGCTATTTTGGCATCCAGGAAACAATTTCACCATTCACACTAATACAGGTGTTCATGTGTAGTGTATCAATGTGTTATTAAATAATAACTGAATAAAATAATATTAAATAAATAATTAAAAACAACATCCATGTTTTGATTGTTTTTTATTTGGACCTCAAGTGTGTAGTCGGCCCCCGAACTGCTGTTTGATAGTTAATGCGGCCCTCGGGCTGAAAAGTTTGGATACCCCTGAGATAGACAGATGTCCACTGCATAAATATTGGTAGTTAAGATTATTTAGCTGCATATTGTGTGAAATTTTTAATGTCCTAGCAATTCTAAATTTGACTCTTGAAAATGACTTGGTTCATTGTCCTTTTCATAAGAGGAAAAACTATGTCAATAGATTATTGAACAAATTATCTGAAATAATCCCTGAAGCTTCAAATTAGTTGGGGAATACTAAAACTGCATTTTAAGAATGTATTAAAAGTTCCTAATCCTTCATAGTATTTGGATGATAGTAAATTTTTCTGGGGCATTCTACCATTTCCAGACAAATTGCAAATTAATACATGTTAATTGAGTTCAGTAATGCACATGTTGTACAGCCACTGCCCGAGTTACAAACAAGTTACGGACCAATACTTAGTCCGTAATTCGAAGTGTTCGTAACTCGGATCCCATAGAGTTACATGGCGACCGCGCCATTCGTAAGTGCGGATCGCCGTTCGTACCTCGGATCCGCATTTACGACCGCTTTGGTCGTAAGTGCGGATGGTCGTAAGTGGAGGTGGTCGTAACTCGGAGAGTGGCTGTAATTGTTTTCTCAGCTCTGCAACTTTTATGTCAAGAAAATCACATGTTCAGCCTCACTGATATTTTCAATCCTTCTTTCTTTAGACATCAGAACAAGAAACAAAAGGTCTTCCAAGCAAAAAAGGAATTGTACAATCTATAGTAGGCCAGGGCTATCATCGTAAAATAGTCCTTGCATCGCAATCAATACAGAATGTTGTTTATAAGTAAGTACGCAATTTTTCTATACTCTTACTTTCTACCCATCTCAGTAAAGGGGGTGTGGTTGTTTTACCAGAAAAAGTATTCTAAACTGTCCTGTCGTTAAATGTGAGTATTTTTATATGGGACAATATGTACTGTTAAAATTACTCACATGTTGAAATGTTTACAAGATTGAGGTCTTAGTCGGTGTCTAGTGCTGAATCAGCAAAGAAGGCTTATTTATGTGTTGAATGAAGCTGAAGTTAGTTGGCCACTTTCTAAAATTGTCTTTCTCTAGAATTTGTATTTTTCCAAATAATTGCATGTTAAATTATTTCTAGAAAGGAAATGATTATGAAAAAAACTCTGATAGAAAGTAGCCTATAGGTAGGGATCAAGTAGATAGTGTATAAAGTTTTACGACTTGTTAGGTAAATTACCTCATCTTGTAAAAGCCAAATACTTGAAGTGAGATTGTGTGAATTGACTGTTCTTGACTTTGTCTACAGGCTTCACAATGTAATGAGTGCATGTATTCTGTTGTTTTCTTGTATGAGCACCGATTCTGTGAGTTCTTTACAAACCAAAGTGTACAAATAAAAAGAAAAAAGTTCCCTAGAATTTTGTATCCAAAGGTTCTGATTTTACCAGCACCCCATTTATGGCGTTCTTGAAATATATGAGATTTCCATGGATGGAGCTCTAGATTAGGAGAGAATCATCTTGTTGAGTGCAGTAAGTTAATCTTTAAATGTAGCTTATTAAAGCATGAAATTAATCATCCACTGGTCTATAGGACAAAGTTCTGTGTCTTCCTGAACTCACTTTTTCTAGAGATTTCTGTTTTTTAAGTAGTAATATTAGTATATTTACTAATTAACTTCTATCTTTCAAGTGATGGGCAGTCCTCAGCTATCCCTGTAGCCAGTATGGAATTTGCAGCAATTTGTCTAAGAAATGCCTTGCTGTTGCTGCCAGAGGATCAGCAGGAGCCAAAACAGGAAAATGGATCTAAAACTAATACCCAGCTCGGGGGAAGTACAGAGAACAATGAAAGCAGTGAAGCATGCAGGTAAATTCAATAGTAGATATGCAAGTTATTTAAAAAACATTTTTTCATTCACAGCATCTGCAGCTTGACAGAGAAATAGAAAACAAAAATGGTGATCTCAAACACACAGTCTCCATATAAAGTAATTCAGTTATACCATTAGTTTAAGTACTGCTAAGCAAACATGAGGAAAAAATAGTGTCTGGGCTTTCATCATCAAATACTCTTTTTTCTCTCTCTCTCTCTCACTCACTCACACACTCACACACTCACACACACACACACACACACTTTTTTTCCTGCTGGGCAACAGAATGACGTCATCATTGTCAGCAGGCTCTCTGTTTGCTTTCGTGGCCAGAGAGATGGGGAAGGTGAGCGTAGCCCCCTATTTTCTTTTAAAAACAAAAATGATGCTTGAACAATTAAATTGATTTTTATAAATGTCTTCACTGTCTTAGCATTTGTAGAACATAAGTAAAATGTGGGGTTTTTTTTCCCCCTCAACCACACTGGGAGTGCATCAGTAATTCTCAAAACTGGTCTTTGCTGATCACTCACGTTGGCATGGCTACATCTATAGGGGGTGTGAAAAATCCACACTGGTGTAGGTATGTTGCCTGACCCCCAGTGTAGAGAGCAGTAGGTCAAGTGGGAGAATTTGTTGACCTAGCTGCTACCTCTCAGGGAGGTGGACTAACTCACTACCATAATGACACACTAAGGCTACGTCTACATTGGCATCCCTTTCCGGAAAAGGGATGCTAATGTGATGAGTCGGAAGTGCAAATCCGCGGGGGATTTAAATATCTTGAAAGTAGGAATAAGAAATCCTCTGGAAAAGGGCTTATTTTCTGGAGAATCGCGTCTAGATTAGCGCTTTTCTCCGGCTTATCCCCAAGCCGGAAAAAAGCGGCAGCCATGTAAATGCAAATGCCGCGGGGGATATTTAAATCCCCCGCGGATTTGCAATTCCAACTCGTCACATTAGCATCCCTTTTCCGGAAAGGGATGCCAATGTAGACGTAGCCTAACAGAGCAGCTGTGCCTCTGTAGTGTTTCAGTGTAAACTACAGCACTCACTGCAGCAACTACTATGCTGCTGTAGCATTTTAAGTCTTGATAAGTTCTTAATGACTTATACTGCCATAGCCTCATATTTGGTATATAAACAAAGCACACTGGTATGCTGCATGCTATATTATGTTTATATCTGAAGTGGAGATGGAGGTTGGATTTAGCAAGTATAAAGGAAAGAAGCATACAGTTCACAATTAAATATAAACTACAAAAAATGACACATCTACAAAAAGTTTTTAAAAGCAAAGCCAGTGTAAGCTTGAAGAAGATTTTGGTTTCATCCTGATATTTCTTCTTTACACGCTTCTCTATATGCCCAGATAAAATTGGGTGTTGCAGAAGAGTAATAATAAAATTATGTAGAAAACTTTTTCTTGGTTGCTGCCTGCAATGTGCATGGTGTAATGCTGGTGAATGCCTTTTTATCATGAACACATTTGTCAAGAGAAAATGGTTAGAACACCTGCTTTGGGGTACAACAATAAGTAATGCTGGAGGTCTGATTAATTTAAGGAAAATAATAAAAAGTTGCGTTTTTGCTATACCTGATTCAAATATATAGTCAGAAAGAGCAGAAAAAAAATCTACCCCTTTAACAGTTCAGGAATTTAATGTAGGTGGGGTATTTAAAGGATACTTCTTTTAGTTTTCTTTTTTCTTATGGTTGAAAAGGTGGTTTTTTTCAATCTTTCTTTAGAAATCCTTCATGAATACAGTCCAAAACTTGTGATTTTTTTTTTCTGAGTGAAAACATCCTCCTGTACATTGTAAAAGAGGATTTCTTATTGTCCTATTATTTCAGAAGTACAGGCAGTCCCCGGGTTACATACAAGATAGGGACTGTAGGTTTGTTCTTAAGTTGAATCTGTATGTAAGTCGGAACTGGCGTCAGCCGCTGCTGAAACTGATCAGTTTCAACCGCGGCTGAATCTGGATGCCAGTTCTGACTTACATACAGATTCAACTTAAGAAACCCAGGCGTCCCCAAGTCAGCTGCTGCTGAAACTGATCAGCGGCTGATTCCAGGAAGCCTGAGGAGAGCAAGGCTGCCTGGGGCTTCCTGTAGTCAGCGGCTGGTCAGTTTCAGCAGCGGCTGACTTGGGGACGCCTGGGGCAGAGCAGCTGGGGTGCTGCCGGGTTGGTCCGGAGCGGCG